AAAGAGGCTCCGGTGGGGATACACAACTCGTGTTGTACGCGAGTATAAAAATAGTACGGCCGGGGCTGGTCAGTTCTGAATTGACTTGGGGCACAGGGGTGGGCCGACTGCACACCTTCAGACACGCCGCTGAACCAGAGCTTCAAGACGTTGACACACGTGACCACTCAAGAAGGATACAAGGGGAGGGAAGATCCCAATAAACAGTTCGATTGTTTGTTATTGTAAAATTCCATTCTGCATGCACACCAGCAAATGATTTGATTTTGATTTTGATTAGTTAGTTGTTGCGGCCTTTGCTAACAACTAACAAACAACTGCAGATAGGTAGTAATTATTCCTTGTTGCATGCAATCTGTTTCAGACTAGTCAAGAGTAGGAATAGAATTGGTTGTAGGAATCTGAGATTATCTGCTGTTACTGCTTGACTACTTTCTGACAAAGCTGGATCGAACATTAATTTTTATTTTATTTTAATTGGTTGGATGCCATGCTGCGGTAGGTCCCAGTGAGGACTCTAGTGCAGATCGCGGTCCACACATATCCCACAGTGAGGTTGAGGGACTAGAGCAAGACGATAGGAGGCTTACCAGGAGACTTGCACGCAGTCGGCCGATCACTTTCCTAGAGTTAGAACGAGGAGAGGAAAGGAGACTGCGGAGAGAAGCCACAGAGAGGGCGGCATTGCAGAGGGCTAGGGAAGCAGCAGCCAATGCCAAAAGGGCACTAGCATCAGCATCAGCAGCGGACGCTAGGGCCAGTGCCAAGGCAGCCAAGGCTACCGCCTTTACCATGTCACAGGCCTCATCTCAGGCCTCTTCGTCAGGTGTGAGTCAGGGTATGATCCAGACTTCCGTTAGTCAGTCTGCTGGCTTGCAGGTCAGCCAACAGCAACAACTGTTAGCAGAGGATTATGGGATCCAAGAAGTGGACACTCTCCACAATGAGTTACAACGCAGTTGCAGGATGTAGAGGAGAGAAGATAAAGAGCTAGGATTAGAAAAGCTAGGCTAGGGTCAAGGGCATAGAAGCTAGGCAAGTTAGAAGGTTTAAATGAGATAACTCTCGATCATGTGGTTCAGTCCCTTTGGAACTCCTTGTTGAGTGTAGCCGAAGTGGAAGCTGTCCAGCATGTGATGTTGGCGGCACTGATAACTGGCAAGAACCAGATTCTGACCGGATTGCGGGCGCCTCAACCTCCGGTCAGGCAACCACAGTTTGTTGTAGTTCCCCCTACAGTTGCAGGTCTTGTGATGACGCTGTTGCCAATAGGGCAACCCTTTACCCCACAGTTTGGCATACCCCCATCAGGCGGAGTAGTAGTATGTAGTAGTGGGCAGATTCCTGTACAACCTTCTTCATTCCCCCATTCAGTGGCTGCCGCTATAGTGCAGCCACAACTGTAGCAACCCTTGCAACAGCCTACAGGGTCAGCTGCAGCAGCAACTACTGCAACAGCAGCAAGTGCCGTCGCAACGACCCGTTCCATTGGTTACTCAACCGATGCAACAGTTGCAGGGTGCTTTACAACCTATGCAGTGGACATCCAATACCCTTGTTGAGTCCTAAACCCTTCCCTGGCGACAAGAAGAAGGACGAGGACCTGAATACCTGGGTGAGGACTGTGCCTACTTATGTGAGGCACGAGCTCACTAGGACGAAGGAGGAAGTCATTGTTGCTGCATCCTTTCTTGAAGGATCTGCAACTAGATGGTTGAATGGGTTAGTACAACAACAGGGCTACGGTCAGAACTTTGATGGATGGGCACATGCCAAATCATTGGAGGAAATCGTACGATTAGTCAATGGCAGGTGGCATGACCCGCAAGGGGCTCAGGAGGCCACCAACTCTTTAGTCAGTCTGGGATCAAAGAGATATCGAACAGTGTGAGAGGTAACAAACGTCGTAGAGCGGTTGATCGTTGCTCCTGGCGTGCGATATCTGCCTAGCGACGTCAAAAATAAGTTGGTCGATGAGGCCTCCATCAACGTACATAACTTTGCTTCGTTCAACAAGAAAGCCTTAGATATAAAGGCTAGCCTTGGGAGTGCCCACCAGGGACCCGTAGATGGGAGGAAGAAGAAGCTCCCTCAAGATTGGAGGAAGAAAGGTAATCTCATGTTCGTTGACCATGATGGTCAAACGACTAAGATGGATGACTTCTCTGACCTTGGGGAAGAAACAGAGATAAATGGGAGTGTAGAGACTTCAGATGGTGGAGTAGTCGCTCCTATCAAGGAAAAGGCTAGGGGGGCCGGGAAACAGAAGGTAGGCCGGTCCAAGGGTCAAAGTGACCAAGGACCACCCATATGGGTGAAGCTTGGTCTAGAGTTTGAGGTGTGGCGTGTCCGTGTTGCATGAGGCGCGTGCCTCAGTTGTGGCCAATATGGGCACATAATGACGAACTGCAAGAGCAAGCGAGTCACCGGGAAGGTAGCATCCCCTGTAGTGGTTGCCAGACCTTCCAACTCTGGTGGTGCTTCTGCGAGCACTTTGCAAGGAAACACCTCGGCCCAGTAGGAGTGTTAGCCACTCTTACTCGTGCTGAAGTGGTAACCTTACCTTCTCCATTTCAGACGATGGCCAATGCTATTGACCCCTTGATCGCCCCGCAGATAGATCCGGACCAATTGATGCTCTGTTCGATGGATGTGTCTGAGTCCTTGGAGGAGTTAGAGACTGAGTGGTTAAAGAAAGACCCTAGAGACTCTTGGGCGATGTTAAACAAAGGTCCAAACGGTGAACATTTTGTGGTAGAAGTCGATGTAGGTGGCCGAAAGGTTGGTGCCTTTGTAGACATAGGTTCTTCGTAGAATTTCATCAGTCATGCTTGTGTGGATAGGATGCGCTTAGGGGACCAAGTGCAGCAACTAAGCAGATTTGTAGCATCTACCTTAGCCAACAAACGCTCCATGATAGTCAGAGACTATGTCAAGGATGTAGTTTGTAACGTCTCTTATGGAGGAGGGGAATTGAGCGACAAAATCTTGTTCCTAATTAGCGACGAGATTCCATTCGACATGTTGCTAGGCATGTACTACCTCGAGGTTGCTAAGGCTCAGTTCGACTGGGATAGGAAGGTGATGATCCACAAGTTGCCAGATGGAAGGACCGTTAGATTGCATAAGTTCAAGGTTAGCAGACTAGTGGAGAACTATGGTTGCATGTGCACGCCATCTTTCTATAACTACCACAAGTAGAACCGCGAGGAAGGAATGTACCTAGTCTGTGTCTCTGAGAAAAGGGGAGGATGTAAAATCACCCCTAGAGATAGAAGCAGTCGTTGCACAATATCCAAACCTCTTTGAACAGCCTAGGGGTGTGGTAGAAAGGGAGATTGTCCACGCGATAGAAGTCATCCCCGATAGCAAAGTACCTAAAGGGTGGATCTATAGGATGTCTCCTGTGGAGTTAGATGAGCTTTGCTGCCAACTCAAGAAGCTCACAAAGAAGGGATGGATTCGGCCAAGTACGTCTCCCTACGGAACGCCAGTTTTATTTGTCCCCTTTCTAAGGATGTGCATTGGCTATAGGGGCCTCAATTCCATCACCGTTAAGAACACAAAGCCCCTACCACGCATTGATGACCTCTTAGATAGAGTGTAGGGATGCCGATACTTCACTAAGATAGATCTGAAGTCCGGATACCATCAGATTGCTATTAGACCTGAGGACCAGCACGAAACCGCCTTTTAGACCAGGTGCGGTCTGTGCGAGTTTGTGGTGATGGCCTTTGGCCTATGCAATGCTCCTGGGACGTTCCAACACGCAATGAACCGGATCTTTCATGACTACTTAGACAAGTTTGTCGTCGTGTACCTTGACGATATCCTTATCTTTAGTAGGACTGTAGAGGAGCACGCTGAGTATGTGAAAACAGTGCTAGGGCTCCTAAGACAACACCAGTACAAGGTTAACTTGGAGAAATGCGAATTTCGTCGCACCAAGATTTTGTATCTGGGTCATGAGATTTCCACGGATGGATTGAGGTCGGATGATGCCAAAGTGGCCATTATACGTGATTGACGCAGTCCTCAGTCTATGACTGGGTGAGGTCATTATTGGGGATGGCAGGCTACTACCGCCCGTTTGTCAAGAATTATAGTACTGCAGCCTCCCCTCTAACCGACCTCATGCTCCTTGACACCCCAAGGGAGTGGACCGAAGAGTGTGAGGCATCCTTTAAGAGATTGAAGTATGCCCTGGCGCACTATGAACTTCCGGATCCTGAGCAACCCTTTGTTGCGACCATAGACGCCAGCCAATACGGCATAGGCGCGGTCCTTGCGCAGAAGGAGGGGAAAAAGTTGAGGCCGATCGAGTACATGAGCAAAAAGATGCGATCTCAAAAATTAGGTTAGTCCATGTATGAGCGTGAGCTCTATGCCCTCTACAGAGCGCTGGTCCATTGGAGGCACTACCTCCTAGGCAAATTCTTTTATGCGAGATCTGACCACGAGACGCTGCGCTGGATTAAGACACAGCCCGTGCTCTCTGACGCACTTAAAAGGTGGATTGAAGTCATAGGTATGTATGACTTCAAGCTGGACCCTCTGAAGGGAGAGTACGACAAAGTGGTTGATGCACTATCGCATAGGGCAGACTATCTGGGCGCGCTAGGGACTGAGTTTGGGATTTCTGATGATGTAACTCGATCTATGGTGGAAGCCTATCAAGAGGACACTATCATATCCGAGATCATCCGTAAACTGGCACTAAAGACAAGGCTACTTCTGATGAGTTTGGGCTGGTTGATGGCTTGTTGTTCCGTGAGAAGGCTGGGAATAAACGTTTGTGTGTTCCAAATAGAGAGTTTATGCATAGTTTCTTTTTAGGTGAGTGTCACGATGCAACTGGACATTTCAGCTATAAAAAGACAGCTGCAAACTTAGTGCAGAAATTTTGGTGGGCCACAATGATGGAGGATGTGAAAAAGTATGTAGAGACTTGCTTGGGACAAGCCGCGGACGCAGGCACCGCTTGGGCTTATTAAGCCCTTGCCTATACCTGCTGGTCCTGGTCAGAGTGTCTCAATGGATTTCATGGACACTCTTGTGACCAGCAAAAGCGGTAAACGTCACATCTTCGTCATTGTGGGCAGGTTCACCAAGTATGTTAGACCAATCGCTATGCCTGAGACAACTAGGACTGACCACGTCATCAAGCTATTCGTGGATAACTGGGTACGTGACTTTGGTCTCCCTAAGTCTATTGTGAGCGACAGGGATCAGATTCACTAGCGAACTGTGGCAAAGTGCAGCCCAACAGATGGGAACCTAACTGCAAATGACATCAGGGAACCACCCTGAGTCAGATGGACAGGCTGAGCATATGCACGGGGTAGTGCAGCACTTGCTTCGGCATTATATTAAGCCAAGTCAAGATGACTGTGATGAGAAGTTATTTCTGATCGCCAGCCTGTACAACAATGCTGTGCACAGCACTACCGGTAAGAACCCCAACCAGCTGCATCTTGGTTGGAAGCCCAGATCTGCTCTTGACTTTTTGTTGCCTGAAAACCAGCCAACCACAACACCTGATAGCATAGAGTTTGCTGTCAAGTACGAACAGATGCTGCAGCAGGCTTTAGAGCAAATCAAGAAAGCTCAAGATGCCATGGTTGCATCTGAGAACAGACAGACGACAGTCTGCATTTCAGGTAATGAGTCTGGGTAAAGTCATCTGAGTTGGGACAGGAGTTGGGAATCTCGCGCAAACTGATGCCACAGTACTTTGGGCCTTGGGAAATTCTGGACATAGTAGGAGATCAACCCGATGCTCCATCATATGTTATTCGCATTCCTGGTCACCTCGGTACACAGCCTGTTTTCCATGCATCTAAGTTGGCACCCTTCGCTGAAACTGAACAGTTTCCCTCAAGAAGATCGATGCTGCCCCCAACCATGGACAGGCATGTGGACATATCGTCGAGCACAAGCTGATGCCTGTGCCCAAGCCTCCAGACAGGGGATGCCCTCCGAAACCGCAGTTGCAGTATCGAGTACGGTTCCGACATCAAACTGATCCTAAAGAAGATCGGTGGTTGACAAGAGAGGAGTTAATGAAGACTGCTCCCCAAATTATCTCAAGTTATGAACGAAATTTGAAAGGGAAGCAGCTTGCTGTGTAACGACTTCTCAGAGGACTATCGAAGTAAAGGAGGGAGTGCGAGGGTTTACCCCTCGGCTAAGGCCTTGCAGAAGGCGCGTGCCCGCCCTAAGTGAAGGCGGGCCCGCTGAACCCTGATGTGCCGTGAGAGAGTTGCCACGCGCCAGTTGGTTACATCTGCCTTGCTCGAGAGAATCCAAAATACAAGTGAGCCTTCCAGGCTCTTCCAGCAACGTGGTCGAAGCAGGGAGCACCGCACGTTTGTGCTTGGGCGGTTGGGCATGCCTAACCAATTCGGTCCCAGGCCTATGTCTGAACGGGCCTGGGCACAAACAGTTTGGCTGAGAATGAAGCTACTGGAAACTCGGTCTCACGTGGGAAGCAAGCGGAAAGAGCCCGCCACTTTCCATATAGGAAAGGGCTGGGCTCGGGGTGGATATTTGGGCACTTGCAATTGCGGGCGGCAGCGCTGCTGGAGCGATCGCTCGCGGGCTGCTCGCTGCGCTAGCGCTGGTGCTGCGTGCAGGGTGCAGGGCACTGCTGAGGGCAGCGCCATAGCCGGGCATGGCTTTGATATAGCCAGTGGTGGTGATGGTGGTCTTCGTGTTCGAGGGTGAAGACGTGGGTGAGAAAGTCGAGGGTGAGAGAGAGAGAGAGAGAGAGAGAGAGAGAGAGAGAGAGAGAGAGAGAGAGAGAGAGAGAGAGAGAGAG